CAGGTGCTGCTGCTGCTACTTGCCCCCCCCACTACTGGTAAGCTGCCTGCACACTGCAGCAGCCGCTGCAGAGCTCAGGGCCTTCTTCTCCCGCTTTGGCCCCATACGCACTTTATGGCTTAACTCGGGGTCACCCCGCCGGCCCCATTTGGCGGGGGCCCCCCCGGGGCTGCTGCCAGAGGGGCTTGCTGGGGCCCCTTCGGGGGTTCCCTTGGGGGCCCCCTTGAAGCCTCCCTTGGGGGCCCCCGTGGAGGCCCCCTTGAAAGCTGCCTTGGGGGCCTCCTTGGGGGGAGCCTCGGGGGCTCCCTTGGGGGCCCCCTTGAAGGCCCGCTTGGAGGCCCCTGTGAAGGGTGCATTGGGGGGCCCCTTGGGAACCTCTTTGGGGGGCCCCTTAGGGGGCCCCCTCAAGGGCATAAAGGCTTGCTCACAGCTCCACAGTGGTAGTGGCATTGTATGGTATAAAGACATAAAATCAACTCAAGCAGCACTTGGGGGGGGGCCCCCCGTGTTTGGGGGCCTCCCCTGCACTGTGCAGACAGCCAGCGCCTTTCTTAGGAGGGGGCCCCTGCTGCTGATGGAGGGGGGCCCCCTCACTGCAGGATATGCCTGGAGGCGCTGCAGCAGCTGCGGGTCAGTGGCTTTCGAGGCAGCAGCTGCTGCAGCAGAAGCAGCGACAGCAGCAGAAGCAGCAACAGCAGCAACAGCAACAACAGCAGCAACAGCAACAACAGCAGCAGCAGCAGCAGCGACTGGAGCGAGCGCAGCACATGCTTTGCTTGAGTGGCGGCTGGGAGAAGAACAGCAGCTGCGCATTGCATGGGCAGCAAAGCACTTCGCTGTGATGCTGGAGTTTCCCTTCAGGGCTCTAGTAGGCAGAGTGCATCTTCTTGTTGCTGCTGCTGCTGCTGTACCTGCCGCTGCTGCTGCTAGTGCCGCTGAGACGCAGGAGACGGACGGCCCCCACAGCAGCAGCAGCAGCAGCAGCAACAGCAGCAGCAGCAGCAGAGACAACAGCAGCAGCAGCAACGAGCAAGGCTACTTCTTGCTGCTTTGCCCGCAGCACCCACCCCGCGTCACCCTTATGGAGCTGCAAGCAGCTAGCCAAGGCGAAAATCCTTGCGGGGGCCCCTCTGGGGGCCCCCCTTGGGACCCTTCTGGGGGGCCCCCTGAGGACCATTCTCAAATCCCCATTTGGAACCCCTCTGAGAACCCACAAAACGCAAAGACATCCTCTGGTTCCCATTTAGATAAACAAGGAAAGGAAGAAGCAGCTCCGGCGGCAGCAGAAGCTTCAACTGCAGCAGCAGCAGCAGCAGCAGCAGAAGGTGCAGCAGCCTTATTGCTGGCTGGAGACGAGGAATTGCTGCCGCCATTCCGCTGCTTTCGGTTCGGCGCAGGAGCTCCGGGGCCCCGCGGCAGCCTGGTGGTCTGCTGTCCGCTGCTGCAGCGGCTGACGGACTGTCCCGACTTGCTGCTGCAGCTCCCCGCTGCTGCTGCTGCTGCTGCTTCTGTTGGATACCCTACTGGCCAGTGCAGCGCAGCAGCAAACTGCCAAGCAGCAGGAGGCTGGCTGGAAGAGCTTCGAAGACAGGGCCTCCTGGCCACAACAGTGCCTCAAGGGCCCCTCCAGGGGACCCCAGGAAACCACCAAAAGGGGGCCCCCAGGGTTTTTGTGACCGCAGAGCCTCCAGGCAGCGCAGAACAGCTAAGACTCATTTCCAAAGCAGTGCTGCAGAGGAATCATTTTTTGCTGCAGAGCCTTCCTCTAGTGCAGCAGGCCAGCAAGCATTGGTTTGCTCAGCCTGTCGGTGAAAGAAACCCGCTCTGCGCCCAGTGTCCTGCTGCTGCTGCTGCTGCAGCACGTGCAGCAGCAGTAGCAGCTGCTGCTGCAGCAGTGGAATCTGGAAGATCGAGCTGGATTGGGCAACCGGAACCCGCCGCCGCGGGGACAGGAGCCCCTCCTGCGCCTCGTGCAGCATATGCAGCAGCAGCAGCATCAGCAGCAGCAGCAGCAACACCGCCAGAGGCTCTGCCACGGAGCGGCAAAGAGCCATCAACAGGCCCCTCTGCAGCCCCACTGCAGGAGCAGCAGCAGCTAGGAAATGGCCCAGCCGCCTCTGTGAGCTCTGCTGGTTGGCTTTTGTGGGCAGAGCTGCAGCAGCTCCTCTCCAAGGGTATCTTGCCAGCCCCCTGCCTATTTGAAGCTGCACCTTGTGGGCCCCCTAGTGTGCCTTGGGGGCCCCAAAGGCCCGAAGAGGGCCCTTGCGGCTACTCTCCGGGTTGGAATCCTCAAGGACACTCTTCCGGGCTGCTGGGTTCGTGCTGCAGCCGCTTCAGGGGACCCCCGGAGGCCCCCCTGGCAGTGCCTGTGACTCGGGGGCCCCATTTGGGGGCCCCCCGGCCACTTTGTGTGGTTTTGGCTGATCCTGCAGAAGATGCCCAGAAGCTCCGCGAAGGGCTGAGGGCTTTGGCTGTGGAAGCAGCTGTGGGGTATTCTCCTATTTGGGGTGTATCTCCAGCTGAACGGCTCTGCGAATTCTTGCGGAATGAACAGTAAGTAGGGCTCGGAGGCCGGGTTGGCCTGGGGCGCAGGGAAGCAGGCACAGCTGCAGCAGCAGCAGCAGCAACAGCAGCTGTATCCAGTGCTGCTTGTGAGTGTCGCCTGTGCTGCATGCAGGCAAATGCTGCTGCCGCCTTGTGCTGGCTGCAGCAGCGAGACTATAGAGATCCTGCATCTGCAGCTGACGCCTTTGCGAGTGGTTTGCCTGGGCGTATTCACTGAAAAGACAAGCAGGCTCACCCGCCGCTTTGCTGCTGCTGCTGCTGCTGCTGCCTTCGCCAGAGTCTCTTTGGCTGAGGAGACTGGAGCGCGGCTTTACCTGCAAGACAAGGCGAGCGGCCTGGCTGCGTGCTGCAGCTGCCGCAACTCCTGCTGCCCTCATATAAGACCTTCAAAATGTCTTTTTCTTTCCTCTTTGCTGCTCTTTCATGCTTCCCCGTAATTGCCTTTGCTTCTTTTTATGCGCTTCGCGCTGCAGCTGCTGCTGGCTTCAACTCTGTGTTTATCCTTCTTTCTTTGGCGTGCTTAGTCTTTCAATGTGTCCACTTGAGTTTGTCTACTTTTCCTTTTAATATGTGCAAAAGTTGAATATTTATAAGATCGAGGTGTCTGGTGCAGTTTCTGGACAGCCTAAACAGAATAATGACACTAAAATTAGTTATATTTGATGATAAATGCTCTTCTTTTGGCTCTCCTGCTGCTTTCTCTTGCTTGCATTTGCTGCTACTCTCGCTATTTCTGCTGCCCCTCCTGGCCGTCTTCAGCTATCTTGGGCAAATTTTCAAATCTGGGCTTTCGTGCTGCATATACGGGGCATTTCCTGTGCCTCTTCTGCACCTTTATGGTTCTTATTGAAGGTCCTTTTAATGTCTTTTTATTTCTCTTTATTTGGCCTTTATCAGGCCTCTTTTCGTTTTTGTTTCTCTTCTTTTCTCCAGAAACACCCCGGGGTCTCAGACCGCTTTCTCGCCAAGTCCCTCACTGCCCGAATTTCTGCAGGCCTCAGCGCCGGTCATTTGCAATTTGCTGTTCTGGGCTTTTCTATGAATCAGCTCCGCAAAGGCAGCTACTGGGCAGTCAACACCCAAGGTCGCCCCAAATCCTAAACCCTAAACCCTAAACCCTAAACCCTAAACTCTAAACCCTAGGCCAAACACTCTGGAGTACCAGTCGCACGTGCCAAGCTTTAGCGCGCTGGTGGCTACGCTACTGCCGGGCCATGTGCTGCTGCTGCGGCACATGAGAAAACATCTTTGGAGCTGTTAGTTTAAGGGTGCAGGGCCTGGCTTTTCGGGTTTGGAGCATCGGGCTAGGGTTTAGGGTTTAGGATTAGGGTTTAGGGCGACGTCTCGCGCATGCAGGGCCCGTAAGCCGTCAGCAGGTGCTGCAGCAGCTGGGGCTTGCCTCTGCTTCTCCCCCGGGACTCTTTAGCCGCCAGTTCGGCATTTGTGTCAGCAGCACCACACCGACTTTGCGCATACCTACGCTGTCTATACACCTTGGCCCAGACATCACCTCCAACTCTGTGCTCCAAAGAAGTCAGCCCCAGCAGTTCAAACCCAAGAGAGGCCAGATTTTTTGCTTCACAGGTCAGACACGGCAGCAGCAGCTACGGCGCCTGCCAGCAGCTCCGGGGTGCTGCAGCAACTCAGGGGCTAACCTGCTGTTCCAGTTGCATTCGGCTCAGTGGTCTCCATCCCCTGCTTCGGCTTGGCAGGGGTGCCCCCAGGGCCCCCAGGGCCCCGGGGGCAGCAGCAACTGGGGGACCTCAGGGCCCCCAGTTGCTGCTTCTAGCCGGCTGCTTACAGTGACACTTTGCTGCCGTGCTTTTGTTCTTGGTGCTCCTTGAGACTCCTTGATAGGTTCTGCATTTCCCTTTTTCCAACCTAGGCTTTCACCTCAGTTGGATCTTTGCTAGCAACTCTGCTGCAGCTCTCCCCAAACGGCTGCTTCCCCTGCTGCTGCTGCTGCTGCTGCTGCTGCAGAGGGCTGCGGCTACATGTCTGCGCGGCTATGGAGGCGCCTGGGCGACGCCTTCCCCCAGCTGAGGCGGTGCAGCGCCGTGCAAATGCGCCTGGGAGGCCTCAAGGGGATGCTGGTGCTGCACCCGGCCTTTCCCCCTGGGCTGCTGGAGCGGGGCCAAGACATAATGGCCCACGCGTCCATGGCCAAGTTTGCTGCGGACGCGCATTTGCAGGTCCGCCACAGGCCCCCGCGCTGCTAGTCTGCAACAGCAGCAGCAGCAGCAGTAGCAAGCATGCGCCCCGCGCTGCTGCTGCTGCACCCGCAGGCAAAAACAGCCGCATGCAGAGCCACCGTAACGCTTTGTACTCATATCGGGTTTTTAAAATGCATGCAAACTTGCATGCGTCCTTCAGGATTTGGAGGTAAACGACCACTCAAGGCGACTGGCGGCTTTTCTGAACCACCAGGTAAATAGAGGTGTTCGTACACCCCAGCCCTTTGCAGGGAAGCGCTAAGGGTGCCTCTTGTGCTGCTTCCCTTCCCCACTCTGAGCGCCTTGTGTGCCAGCAGCTTCCTTGGAGATTTGAGGCTGCTTCTTAATACATGGCCGCAGACTTGCAAATACAACGGTGTGCGCGCATGCATGCAAATATGCCTTTGTGAGTGTTTGTGTACATGTACTTCGTCTTTATCTGCTTTTAAGATTCTTATTTTTCTTGCTTCGTGCTGACTGCTATTTTCGTCCTGCTGCTTCTGCTGCTGTCCTGCGCTGCTGCTGCTACTCACGCCCTTCGCCTTTTTCTGCTTCCTTTACTCTCAGGTCATTTTGCTGCTCGACTCTCGCGGGGTTCCATACAGCGCCTTTGCGGCGCTGCAGCAGCGCGCGCTGGACCTCTTGAGGGCCTCGGAGAGACAACGTGAGAGCAACAAACTCGCGCCTCTTTGCAGCAGCAGCAGCAGACGTGCTGGTGCAGCATTGCATGGGCTGCGCGGCCTCCTGTAGGCTTCCTGCAGCCGTCTGTCTGATCGCATTTTGCTTGTCTCTGTAATATTTATGGCACCATTCTCTGATTGGCTGCCGCTGCTGCCGTTGCCGCCCGTGCTGCCGCTGCTGCTGCTATCAGGGACGTCGGCGCTGGCTTTGCTGCAGTGCGCTGAAACCGACCAAGACATCAAAGGCCCCGCCGTTCGCGTGGTTCTGAAGCTGCTGCAGAGCTGCGGCTTCACCCTGCGGGAGCCTTTTCTTAGGAGTGTCTTGCAAGCAGCAGAGACCCATTGCCTTTCTCTAATGCAGCAGAAAGCCCGCATACTTGTCGAGGTGACCAGAGCACAGCAACAAGAGCAACAGCAGCAGCCGCAGCAGCAGCAGCAGCAGCAATACTAGCGCCAGCACCGCCTGCATGCTGCCTCCCAAGACCTGCAGCCCCGCCGCAGCCGCTGCTGCACTGACTACTGGGTCGCTACCCCGCACTTCAGCGTCTGCTGATGTTGCGCTGCCAGTCTGCTGCTGCTTGCTGTTGCCGTCTGCTGCTGCTGGTGACGCAGAAAGGAGCCTACCTCTTCGGCGTAGCCGACCCAACCCAAACACTTCTCTATGATCATGGCTGGCGATGGGGGTCAAGTGCGCGCCGCTGCTGCGCAGGGTTGCCTGAGGTGTACGTACACCTCACGAGGCCAAACCAGGCTCCTTGGGAGCTTTGCGGGGCCACCTCAGAGGGGCCTGAGCACTGCTGCAGCAGCGCGTGCTGCAGCAGCGATGCCTGCAGCGGCACACCCTGCTGCAACAGCGACCACTGCTGCAGCAGCGGCTCAACCCAACACCCCCGCACGCACAGGGTGGCCCTGCCAGTGCCCTGCGGTGCTGCAGCGCCTTACCAAAGCCCCAAATCGGAAGTGCTCTCAGGGGTCGTCGCCATTGTTAAGTCCCCTTGCATGCATCCGGGAGACATTCAGCTTTGCTACGCTGTAACGCAAACCCTAAACCCCAAGCCCTGCATTACAAACCCTAATCACTAGCCTCCAAAGCTGGTGTTCAGCGCTTGTGCTGCAGTAGGACACCCTCCGTGCATGCATAAGCTTGCTTCATAAGCCTTGCTTCTTGTACTTAAGGCCCTCGTGGACAGGTTGGGAACTCCAATAGCGTTTAGCTGCATGCGTTTTCTTGCATGCACACGCTTTTGCTTACCTGCTTTGCATGCGTTCGCATCCATCTGCACGCGTTCGCGTGCGTGTGCATGCATTTGCATGCGTTTGCATGCGTCTGTGAGGCCGTCCGCGGTGTGTTCAGGTGGGCCCCGAGGAGCTGCCTGCGGACTCGCCGCTGAGGGCCCCTTTGGAACGGGAGCCGACGCCAGACGATCCCGATCCCAGCGCGCTGGCCCTGCGGGACCTTGTTGTCTTTCCCTGCCCCCCTCTGGGTCCCAACTTGGCTGCTGCTGATGGGGTTTGGCCTCCCCTCAATACGCGGCACCCCGCGGTTAAGCGGTGAGCTGCATGCACCGGCGCGGGCAAGCTGCGCCTGCGCTGCTGCTGCATGTTGCTGCTGCGGCACTAGCAGGTGCTGCTGCAGCTGTCCTTGCGCCGGTTGCTGCTGCTGCACCGGCAGCTGCTGCTGCTCTTTCTGGGGGGCGCCCGCCTCAATCTTCGTTTGTTCTGCTCTGCATTGGAATGCACTGCGTCGCACTGATGGGGTTGGGATGGCAGCTGCTGTGGCTGTTGCTGTTGCTGCCGCTGCGGCTGCTGCAGGGGAGGTGGACCAGGCTGCCACTACAGCTACCGCGACCTGCCCAACATGCTGTCAGGGGGAGACCTAGACGGCGACAAATATTGGGTGATATGGGAGCCCTTGTTAGTGCAGCCGCTTTTGGAAAATTGGATTAAGGGTGCAGCTCCGGCCCCTGCAGCTGTGCATGAGCCAGCCCCAGAACCTGTTAGTAAAGAGGCCCTCAGCTGCAGCAGCAGCAGCAGCACCGACAGGAGCAGCAGCAGCTCCTGCAGTGGCAGTGAAGCAGAAGACGACAGTGAGGACGAGCCATGGCCAGCAGACTCTTCAACAGCAGCAGAAAAAAAGGGGGAGATAGACGAGAGGGACGAAACTGATTCGACCGCAGCAGCAGCAGCAAGAGCAACAACAGCATCACCAGCAGCAACACCAACTGCAGCAGCAACATCAACAACAACAATGGATCCACAGACGCCCTATACGATTGAGACTGATGAGCGCCAGGGAGAGAAGCACACAGCTGCAATGCGCGCGGCAGCAGACCAAAGGCCAAGAGGAGCTGAGGATGGGCTTCAACTTGAAGTATTCCAGACGGGAACAGATGCAGCAGCAAAGACTGAACCAGCAGAAGCAGTAGCAGTAGCAGCAGCAGACGCAAAAGCAGAAGCACAAGAAGCAGAAGCACAAAAAGAAGTTGAAGCAGCAAATGGCGAGCAGCAGGAACTAAGCCTTGGAGGAGATTCGACGCCCGGCTCCCTGCAGCCTCCAAGGAAGCAAGAGCAGGCCTTGGCGCTTAAAAGAATAAAACACGCAAGGCCGCACAGCCCCACTGCAGCAGCAACAACAGCAGCAGCAGCAGCAGGAGGGGCAGAGACGCAGGCTCTGGCCCGGTACCTGCTGAAGGTGCAGAGGCAGTGTCAGTTAGGCATCATAGCGAAGAGCCACTTGCGCTTCTGCCACTTGCCAGTTTGTTACTACACAGAGGACTGGAAAAGGGGCAAGGCGAGCAGCGAAGGGGCTTTGGCCCTGGCAGACCTTGCTGCTGCTGCAGTGGACGCCCCAAAGACGGGGAAGCAGGTGCTGCTGCGCAGCAGCTTGCGCTGCTTCCTCGAGCCCCACTTCCTGGCCAGCCCAGACCGCAGACAGGCAGAGTTTGCTGCAATCAATCTCCGCAGCAGAACTAAAAGCTTCGTCTCCTGCAGCATTTTGGGCCGCCTCTACGACAGACTTGCCCTCATCTTACCCCTGCAGCGACCCTCCCCGGCGGCAGTGGTCCCCCGCCCGCCCCAAGGTGACCAGTGGACCTTCTGCATGTTTGCTGCTTCTGTCTGTCAGTGCGGCTCTCTTTGCCTTCTGCCTGGCTCTTCCGCTGCTGCTACTCTAGGTCGCTGCTGCTGCAGCGGCGTTCTACAGGGCCTCAGATTCATCTCTCACTGCTTCTGCTGCTGCTGTTGTGGCAGCCGTGCATGAGAGTCTGTCTAAGCTGTCACTGTCGCTGCTGCTGCTGCTGCTGCTGCTGCTGTTGCTGCGGCTCTCCGTAGGCGGCCCGGACCCGCGGCTGTTCTCCCCTGTGCGAGTCAAAACAGTCTGTGTGGGCTTTGAGTATAGGCCCGAGGCCTCTCTTCCCTACAAGGGAGACAGCCGAATTTACTGTTTGCATATGGAAGTGGCCCTGCCCCCTCTACTAGTGGGTGGGGGCCCCCCGCCGCCAGGCAGCAGCCAAGACGGGATCCCCCGCGGCATCCTTACTGCCTTGCATATCTCAGCGAAAAATTGCAGGGCCTGCATACGCACGCAGACCTCCCCCCTCCCTAGCAGCAGCAGCAGCAGCAGGTAAGTGTCGTCCATCTCTAGGGCTCCTTGTGTTGCTGCAGGCCGCGTGCCTTCCTTAAACCCTTTACTTTTCCGCGTTGCTTTTGTGAATGTTGCTCGTGTTGTCTGCAGCGGCAGCTGCAGCGCCCGCAGCAACAAGTGCAGCAGCAGCTGCAGCGAGACCGGAGGCTTTGCAGGCAGATCGATGACAGAAGCATTTCCAACGGCAGGAGGAGGAGCAACGGCAACAGCAACATCAGCTGCTGCTGCTGCTGCTGCTGGGAGCTGCCTGAGGATCCCCGTCAGCAGCCCCAACGCGCAGCAGCATTGTCGGCCTTGCTACGCTGTGCTGCACTCTGCTGCTGAGGCTTCTGCTTCGCTGCCCTATCCTCTCCTCTACTGTTCCCTTAGTTGCGAACTCGGGCTTGCCCTGAAGGATCCGCTGGCTGGAAGTACTGAGGTGGAGCTAGGAGGCAAGGCTTTGCTTCTGCTGCTGCTGCTGCTGCTGCTGGTGCTTCTGCCGCTGCTGCTGCCCTTGCTTTTGCAGCTGCTGCGTCTGTCTGTCCTCACGCTGATTTTTCTGATGATAAGGCTGGTGCGTTTGCGGTCCACTATCTGCTGCTGCTGCTGCTTAGTCTTGGGACTTCTTCTCCTCTTCTTTGCAGTGGTCTTGCTTGCGATGAGTTGCGGCTCCGGCATGCCTCCCGCTGCCCCTATGCAGTTCATATCTGCTGCTGCTGCTGCAACTCTTGCTGCAGTTGCTCTGGAGTACGTTTTAGCTTCTACTGGGGAGGCTGCAGTCAGCCCAACCGTCTTCGGCCGCCCCACAGTGCTGCTTCCTCCTGAGCTGTGGGGTCCCGAACGCTCTGCAGTGTACGTACACCTGCCAAGGCCTGCGGAGAACCTCCAGGTAGGCAGCACCTACAGGCAGTAATCGTTGC